CAGAGGATGTAGAAATGGTTCTCTAAAGAAAAGAAACATAAGAGAAGCAGCTGGATTAGGCCAAATATATATAGAAGCGATCTGTGCTAGGGGATATAATTTTGAAGACATTGACTGAGATATCTGAAAGAGGGGACAGGCCAAGGCATGAAAAACAAACTCAGACCTTTTTAATACTTAAAAACATGTGAGAGGGAATATCAACCACCACCAACCTATATACCTACTTTCCCATCTACATAAAATGCTTATTAAATTCATCCACATGAATTGAAAGCATTCACAATGAAGGAAGAGTCCGATCTGCAACCACCATTTCATGGTGTCTTTTTTTTTTGTTTTGTTTTGGCGAGGCAATTGGGGTTAAGTGACTTGCCCAGGTTCACACAGTTAGTAAGTGTCAGATGTTTGAGGCTGAATTTGAACTCAGGTCCTCCTGACTCCAAGGCTGGAGCTCAATCCACTGTGCCACCTAGCTACCCTGCCTGGTATCTTTACCATCACACAAATAATTGAAAGGTTAGAGAATACAAGATCTCACTGTACTTATTGTTTGTTGATTTTTAAAAAACAACAACAACAAACTTTTGATTCACTAGAACAAAATACTGCATTAAAGACATTCAGATTCTTTGACAAGTCAGATTCTTGAAGCTGCTGTAGGGATCTGAGATGTTTAGGTATTTGAATTAAGCCACAGGCTGGAGACCCTGAACAATCTGATATACTGCAGTTTCTTCTTGGGCTATCTCAGAGGTCCCCCATTTTTGGGATCTTTCATTCCAACAAAATGTCTCACATGCATACATCAGAGTTATTCAACATTCTATGAAGGATGGGGAAGGTAGGTGGTACAGTGGATAGAACACCAGCCCTAGAGACAGGAGGACTTGAGTTCAAATCTGACCCCAGACACTTATTACGTGTATGACCCTGGACAAGTCACTTAATCTTGACTGCCTCCCAAAAAAATCCCCAAACCAAAAAAAACATTCTATGAAAGATGACAACAGAAGTGACCTATGATCTGCTGATTATTGATATATATCAGGTGAAGCATAAAACAGGGAGATGTAAGCTCATCAAAGGTGTTCACCACTGTCATGCAGATTGAGTAGGGAGGAAAGCTGAAGAGAAATTCCCTATAAATGATAAAGTCCTCCAAATACTCCTCTTTAATTATGCTGCTGCACTAAACCCTAGAATACCACCAAGCCTCCTGGATAAGACCAACAGCCACTTAAAAGAGTTTGCCCTACGCATCTACACAGGAAAAACCAAAAGAATGCCTATTATCTATATTATAATGTATAGTTAGACGGACAACCTATAGTGCTTGTCCATCTGTATCCATATCTTGGACAGATACTACACATGGACAATGAATCAGGCCCAGACTTAAACAGGAAGAGGAGAGTGGGCTGGATTGCCTTTGAGAATGGCCCCAAACTTCTCAGAAATAAAGGCCAATCTTCTTAGTGCCAACAATTTATCAGTTGTATAGCTGTGAGTCATAGGAAATTCTAGTCTGCCAAGAATTAAAAATGTATACCACACAAAGGGCAATGGGGAGGTGTACAGTGTGTGTAAGTTTCAACACAGAGCAAATAAAGTATTGCCAAAAAAAAAAAAAAAAAGAAAGAGCAGG